ACTTTCCCCCCCCAGAACCCGCCCCGTCTGCTTTCTCTGTCTCCCATCGCGGCTGTGTCCTGCGCTTCCCTTGTGTCTGCACAGGGGCCTCGGCCTCTCCATCTCTCTCTCTCATTGTGCGTTCTGGTGTCTCCCCGTGTCTGAGTTTCCGTCTGGGGCGCTCACATCTCTCTCTGATTCACCCCCACACGCCCCGCGCCCCGGACCCCCGGGGCCTGTCGGGCCACCGCACACCGTTCTGCCGGCCTCTGGGTCCCTGAGACCCTTTAACCTGTGAGGACGTCCAGGATCACAGGTGAGGTTCTTGGGAGCCTGGCATCCGGCCCAACCACAGCCTGAAGGTTGCAGGCCCGACACCTGACCCCTGACCCCTCTCTCCTTCCTCCCTGCAACCCCAAGCCTGACATTTGACCCGCAAAAGAAATCGGGCCTCTGACCTCAGACCACAGGCCCCTCCCCCGTCCCACAGTGACCTCACAAAGGTCACCGGCCTCTTCCCAGGCCGAGCCCGTCTGCGATGGCCCAGCTGGCTGCAGGCAGCGCTGTGCCCTGCGCTCTGGTGGCCCTCACGGTTTTCGGGGACCCCGCCTGGGCCTGTCTCCTGTGCTTCACATCCTACAGCGAGCGCATCCGCATCTGCCAGACCTTCGTGGGGGTGGCGGGCCCCAAAGTGGAGAAGTGTGAGGAGGCGCTCGAGGCTGCCTTTAAGGGCCTTCTGGACACTGAAATCAGTGAGGAGACCCCGCCACCATCCTCCAGGGCCCTGGGGGTGTGTAAGAGGGAGGGACCGGAGAGGCCTGGAGAGACCCAGGGAGAGAGAGACAACAGACTGGTAGATGGGAGTGGGGGACAGAGACTCAGATGGGAGGATAGAGGCCGGACAGAAACTAGGGACAAAGACTCAGGAGGACAGGAGGCTGGAGATGGGGGTGCAGAGACTTAGAGAGGGGAAGATAGAGACTGGACATAGAGACTCAGGGGAAGATAGAGGCTCAGGGGACAGGCTCAGAGGGGAGGAGGATTTATTTTTTTATTATCCCTGGCTAGGGCCCGGACTGGGGAGGAGCCTGCAATCATGGTACATGCCCTTGACCAGAATTAAATCGAACTCGGGACCTTCAGTCCTCAGGCCGACACTCTATCCACTGAGCCAAGCCGGCCAGGGCAGTGGGAGGAGGATTTGGATGGGAGGACAGAGACTCGTAGCTATAGGACAAAGTCTTAGACAGAGAATGTTCACACAGGTGATATGTTAGGGGAGCTACTTCCCCTCAGCCTCTGCCCCCCCCACCCCCACCCCCAGATTATGATGAGAGAAGCCACCTGCATGACTCCTTCACCCAGATGACCCTCTCCCTCCAAGAGATAGCCACCGCTCAGGGTGAGTGGAGTGGGGGTGGCAGCAGTGGGAGATGTGGGCTTGGAGCCCCCAAGAGATGGGGGCGTGTGCAGGGGGAAAGGGGGTGCCCCTGGAAGGTGGCAGTGGTCTAGGAGCAGATGGCACTGGGTAGCCAGGGGCATCTTCTCAGGGGCATGATGGCGGGAGGTAAAGGGACAGTCCCCATAGACCGGGAGCCTGAAGCCCAGGTCGGGTCAGGCAGATGTGAGTTCTGGCCTGGCTGTGTGGCTCTTCTTGGGTATGAAGTTCAGGATGTGTCATTCCTCTTCCTGTGCCTCCACTTACCTACCTGTAAGGTGGGACACCTTCCCTGCCTCCCAGGAGGGCTTCGGAGCTCAGAAAGAGAGAGAGGGAGGGGGCCCCTAAGGAGAGGAGCTCAAACAGGAGCCCTTCCTCTGGAATAGAACATATGGTCCTTCTGCCAGAGACTGGAACTGTTGGGGGAAGAAGGGAGGCCTGAGCCCTGTTGTATAACATAAACTGGCCTCCTCGGAGGTCTGGGGGCTCAGGGCCTATTCCTAACAGCTCCCATTACTTCTTGCTTCCTGCTCTTGCCCACCAAGCATTTTGACAAAGATCCCTAAAGGTGGGAAGGGGCCCACCTATCCAGTGGGTGTCTGGGGGTCCAGGATGAAGGAGACTTCAGCTGCAATCCCCCCACCCCCCAAAGACCTGAAGAATCAGAGTTGGCAGAGATAGGGGGGACGGGGGCAGGGCAGGACCCCAGGAAACGCCCTTTCTCCCCATGTGGGCCATGTTGTCCCAGAAGATGTGGAAAAGAGGGGACAGTCCAGAGTGGAGGCTGGGAGGACTGGGTGGAGGCTGGGGTGGAGGAGGCTTGAGCTGGGGAGGGGGCTGTGAAGACGGAGATGAGGGGGCAGGGCTGAGGGCGTCGAGGGCAGGATGGGTGAGGCTTGGGTCTGATGGGCTGTTCCCTCCCCAGGGAGGGGAAGAGGAAGCTTAAAGGGCAGTGCCTGGGGTTGGCTCTATGGGTGGGTGGTGGGTGGTGGGTCATCCCCCGGGTGGGGGGTCTAGAAAGAGAAGCAGTGGGGTAGATAGTGAGCTGGGCTAGGACATAGTAACTGCAAGGGACCCAGGGGACATCTAGGTAAATGGGTCCGGGGTGTAGCGGAAAGGTGAGAGAGACTTGAGAGTCTGTCTTGTGAGCAGGGGAAGGTGCGGAGGACCTACTGGAGGCCGGGAGAAGCTGGTGCAATACGTTCTGCAGGGATATATTTAATGTGCCGGGAACAAAACAAAGTCACCTGCCCTCAGGTTGCTTCTATTGCAGGGGGTGGGGGTGGGGCAGACGGGAAACGTAATCAGTGAACTACTATAGTGTGTCAACTGGTGAACCATGCTATGGAGGAAAACAAGGGAACAGGATTGGGCCCGTGGGTTGATCATTTTAAACAGGTTGGTCAGGACAGGTGCACATGACAAGGTCCAATTGAGCAAAGACCTTTGTCAGTGAGAGCCAGGCAGAAAACCTGGGGGGAAAACATTCCAGGTGGAGGGGAGAGCCAGTGCAAAGGCCCTGGGGTCAGTGTGGTTGGCGTGGTATCATTGAGGGAGAAATCGAAATGAAATGAAATTAGTGAGGCAGCCAAGGGCCGCATCCTGTAGGACCTTGTAGGTCAGTAAGATTCTCAAGCCCCAGTGTACGAATTCTCAGAAGCTTTTGGGGGCGTGTAAAAAGGCAGGGTCCTGGGCCCAACCCTCCGCTTCTGACCAGTAGGTCTGAGGTATGGCCCAGAAATGGACATTTCTAACAAGTTCCCTGGAACACACTTTGAGAACTGCTACCTTGTACCAACTTGGGCCTTAAGGAGGAGACAGGATATGACTTAGGCCGTGTGGGACAAGGACAGAAGCAAGGGTGACTGATGGTGGCTCAGACCAATGGCAGCGGTCCAGGTGGGTCAAGATGAGTCTGAGCTGAGGGAGGTGGAACATGAAGATGGAGAGAAGGAAGGTCAAGGATTTGACCGAATGCTCAAACCCGCCCCATATATGGGGCAGGCTGTGTCTGCCAGACAAATGTATTTATGTTACTGATCCTCAAGGATAGCCTCATACCAGTCTGGTGGGATGGGGTTTTATAAACCCCTATTTCTAGATGAAGAAGTTGGGGCTCAGCTAGACAAGGAGAACAGGTCCAGGAGATAGCTGGACCAGAGTTTTCAGATCTAGCTATCGGATGTTGGGCCACTCTCCTAACCTCTCCATGCTGCCTTTTCCCCATCTCAAACTTGGAGATGGTAAGTGGTTGACCCTTCTGTACCACTCACTGTGTGCCAGGCACCGTTCTAAGTGATTACAGACAATATGTCATGCAGTCACTAAATGGTACCTGGCACATAATTTGGGATGAGGAGGTGGGAATGCTTTTGTGTTGTACGGCATTAAATGTTCCCCGAACCCAGTGAGGTAGACACTAATATGGTCCCAATTTCCTGAACAAGGAAAGTGAGGAAGGTTAAGTCACTTGGCCAAAGTCACATACGGAGGTGGGTCTGATGATGGTTATCTCAGATGTGGGTTGGGTGTGGCCATAAGCGGAAGAGCCATGACCATGACCGATCCAGACCTTTGAAACACTGAAAGCTCCTCACCATAAACACCTCTTTTGGAGAGATTTCACAGCACCGATCAGCACCACCTTGTGGTTCATGTGATATGACCCCTGCCTCTCGGCCTCTGGACATTTCAACTCTATCTCCCAGGGTTTAATAGATAGACAACACCCCGCCCCCATGGCTTCCTTGGTAAATTCCCTCGTTCACCCTCACCATGCATCGCTTGGTTTGGCCCATAGATATTTCTTGAATGACTCCTCCAGCATCCTGGCCTTTCATTCGGGCATCCCACACTGACCACATCCTCCTCATCATCCTACCATCTCTCCAGACTGCTTGCCTGCTCTGTGGCCTAGATGAGACCTCTAAGTCCTTGACTCTTCATCTTGAACCCACTTCCTGGTTTCGGTACCCCACTCTCCAGCTTCTACCCAGTGATCATCACTTCAGCCACCCTTGCCAATATCCTCATTTCACTCCCTTTCTGTATGGTTTTAAGTCACAGAGGAACCTGAAATGGCTGAAGCAAGCGGGGAGTTTATTTCTCCCATACCAAACAAGGCTTGAGATAGGCACTTAAGGCTAGTATAACAACTCCATTTTCTTGGGAACCTAAGGTCTTCCCAGCTTTCTGCTTTGTCATCCTAGGGTGTACCCTTTGTCCTCATGGTCCTCTGTGACTGGTAGAGCTCCAGCCATCCAATCGAAGTTTCAAGCATCAGGAGAGAAGATGGCACATGTTACTCAATAAGAAGGCTACTTCCGGACACTCCCACAGGGACACTTCCACTTGCATCTCAAGAGCCAGAACTTAGTCATATGACCATCACTAGGTCATATGATCACAGCTAGCTGCAAGGGAGGCTGGGAAATGTAGTCTTTTGGCTGGGGGTGCTTTTCTGGCTGAAAGCACTCCGTTAACTAAAGAGTAATAGATGTTTGGAGGAAACTGGCAATTTCTATGTATTTGCTGACGCTGCTGTACCTACCACAAATTGGGTGGCTTAAACAACAGGGATTTAGTTTTTTCACTATTCTGGAGGCTGGAAGTCCAAAAGTGTATTAGTTTGCTGACGCTGCTGTACCTACCACAAACTGGGTGGCTTAAACAACAGGGATTTATTTTTTCACTATTCTGGAGGCTGGAAGTCCAAAATCAAGGTGTCAGTGTCAGCAGGGTTAGTTTCTTCTGAGGCCTCTTTCCTTGATGTAGTTGCTCTCTCTCCCTGTGTCTTCACATGGCCTTCCCTCTGTGTTTGTGAGTCCAAATTTCCTCCTCACAAGAAGTCAGACACATTGCATTAAGCCTCATCCTAATGGCCTCA